AAATTCAGGAGCAGCACTAGACCTTTCTCTTATACATCTTGGGATAACTGTAGTTGCTGGACAACTGATCAAGGACAAGAAAATCCAAGCACTGAAAAGTCTACCTGTTGTTTTAGTGGGGTCAGAAAGCAGCCAAATTACCCAGGAAATGGATCTGCACCAGGAATATAAACAGGGAGCCACAGAGGTCAATTCAGGGAACCCTCATTGTCTCACACAAAGCAGGCTCCTCGAGAGGAGAAAACAGTAAAAACTCTGCTTCAAAGCAGTTCTGCAATCAGAGCTGCTGCTCCCTCTGCCATCTGTTACCACCATATCAGCTCTTTGGAAAACAAGTTGAGCTCTGCACACAAAGCAAAGGTTGCTAGGTTTCCTTTAAGCAATGAATAATAACATGTTCCCTGAACAATTCCTCTACTCCCTGAGAACAGCATTCATTTTCAGAGAATTTGAAAAGTAAATCTGTTAATAACCTTAGGAATTAATATTAATTAAACACAAATTCTTCCAGAAATTTAGCAAAATCTACAAGACATCTTTTTTCCTTTTGATTTCTTTAGATTTTGAAAAATACTATTAACTGTTCAAACTACCCACATCAGACTGTAGTTTTGCTTTATATTCACATACTGTGTTTTACGTGAGAATTCTTATTTTTGCTAGATTTTGCTCTCTTGGCAGATGTCAAAAATCAGAATAATTTCCTACTAAGAACGGTAGGAAGGACAGCCTCCTCCATGAAATACTTCTGTATCTCCCAGTTTCACTGGGAGGAAAAAGCCTTTCAACCCTCTCTTCAGTTGACAGCCATTTGAATGACACCTCTTTCACTCACCTCCCTATCCCATGCATGCATTTACATGTCTTGTACAGCTCAGATTTACATTACAGTTACAGCTATTGCAACTGAAGAATAAGAGAGGCAAAATTTGTCAGCAGAAGTGAGTTTTTGTTAGATTGATACACCTGGAAAAATATGGACAAACTCATCAGGCCGAGCTAAGGATGCTTTCTTTTGTTGCACCAAAGGTGGATGTTGCAATTTTGAAACCCAGTAAAGTACAGACAGGTGATGCATTACAGTTTCTGCTCAGCACTCACTGATGTCTTTTAAACTTGATCTGACTGCAAAATGAACATCCAGTTTCTGCACAGGATGTCTGTTTTAAAACTCCCTGTAAACTCATCCAAAGCCCTGTGAATTAGCACTCCAGGTGTGTCCAGCCATGGCTGCAGAGCACCTGAGAGCACTGCAGTGTGTCCCATTCCAGACACAGCCCAGCATCTGTGCCAGCCCCACTTCACCTCTGTCTGCTGCGCAGGCACTGGGAGTTAGAAAACCTCCAAAGGAGACTCAAGGGCTCTTCTCTTTGGCATCTGAAATTAATGTGAAATGCAATGCTGGAACAGAGTCACGGCAGAGTCTCCCAAGGGCCCAGCCTGTCAGAGGATGAAAATGGATTGGCTGATTTATGGATTTGCTAACTTCTCCTCTGAGTCTTTAGTGGCAACCAGGAACAGTGGTTTAACACTTCAGACATGAAACTGCCACTTGGATGGAAGTGACATTTCCCCCCTATTATATGCTATTTTTTCTGTGACCGTGTCCCTCAGATCCCAGTGAGACCCTCAGATTAGAGGCAGAAACACTGGTAGGGTTTGAAGAGTTCCAAGTGCTCAATGCAAATCAGTCCTCCAGTTTTGCAGAAAATGGACTTTACACAACAGCTACTCCCAAGTACATCATCCCCATGTCTTGCCCCTGACCTGGAAAGCATCAGCCTACCCAGATGGAAAACCAGCCTGTGATCTCTGCCAGGAAAACAACAACAGCAGCCCCCTTTGTGGCAGACACCTCTGGGAGGAGAACAGAGCAAGGCTCCCAAAGCCTCATTTGCACAGGTCTCCAGGCAGCTGTTAGCAGGCACTAAACAGTGCTGAAAGCCTCTGGAATTTATTTCCAACTCCATTCCTTGGTTGGGACACTGGAGGTGTGAAGCCACAATGAAATCACTTTCCCTTCCTGTGCTTTAGTTTCTCCTTCTATTAAGCAGGAATTGACCTTTCTTCATTAAGCACTCTGAGATGGAGGAATGAAGAGCAAGTAGGTAAGAGCTGATTGTTATTAGAGCTACTAATAATAATCCTTGAGCTCTGTAAGTCTCTCAGGTAAAACAATTATGTATGACTAAGTACATCTCTCAAATCCTTCCAAATCTCTACCTGAACTTTACAATCCAGATAGTGAAGACAGGGCAAGGAAAAGGGCAGCAATGGAAAAATCATTTCCTCCTCACTGGAAAGAGAACACATTCCAAAATGTAAAAAAGTGCAAAACCCCTGTACCTGGGCAATAGGGGTCTGTTTTGGGACACGAGTCCCCCAAAATAGTTTTGTCTTTTTCAAAATATTTAAACTTTCATTGAATATTTAGTTCTGAGACCTTTAATTTATCTCCTTAACAGTTATATTTATAGTAAGGAGACAAATCATACTTATTAAAGAACCAGTTTCTTTCTCTGAACATTCTTCTGAATTTAGATGTTGAGACTGTCTTGAGATTCAGAATTATTTGAATAAAGGCTTCATCCTCCCAGTGAGTGGAAACATTGACTGGCTTTATCCATATTTTCAAAACAAGTCTTCTCTCCCCTCAGTCACCACTTTTCACAACTTTTTGGTTTTAACCAACATAGAAAGCAATTGCTCCTCTCCTCAGAGATGGAAGCTGTGCAAGGGGAACAGTCTGCATAAGTATCCTTCCAAAATAGCACTCAATTATTGCCTTTTCTACTTCAGCAATGGAAACACTGTGCTTTCCACAGGAGTCAGAACTTAAAAACAGAGTTTGCATAGGACAGAGACACCCAGCTCCATTCCACTGTGGAATGGGAAGCAATCAGGGTTCTCTTGTTCTGCAAGGCTCTCTTACTTTCTTTAAAACCAAACTGAGAGAAACTCTACTGTAGGACTGGCTTGGATTATATACATTCAAAATACTGTAAGAGCCAGGAACAGTACCACCTAAACCCAGGGATACAAGCTGTCCACTGCTGGCTAGAATGACACTTGCCAACCAGAGTTCTGATACCTTTTGCTACCCCAGGGTAAGACCTCGAGGCTTCTGAAGTTAATGGATTCATTCTCACTGACTTCAAAAATAAACCAGGCTTTTACTTACTGTAGCTTTTGTCTCTGGAGTCCACACACACTCAGTTGCTGATTAAGAACTACATCAAGAAAAACAACCTTCAAACCTACTTTATTTCAAAGATAAAATTAAATAGAATATTCCTACTTTTTTTCTTATTGTTGCTGTCAAAGAAATGACCCATGATCACTTAATGTATAATTAAGACAGAAAGTAATTTCATATCAAGACAGACTTAACTCAGAATGAAAAATATTTTAGGAATGAAGCACAGTATGTCAAAATGACACAGAGAGGAGAAAAAATGGTCTTTTGGCTGGGCAGAATTCTGTTATATTTAAAGAACGGAGTCGTCTTTGAATCTTCATAATAATTGGTCTCTATTCCCTGCTCAACTGTAACATTATTTAACTACTCAGATCCATAATTAAGTTCATCATCCCAGTGGAATTTTGAAAAGAGGCTTAATTTTCTGCAAGAGAAATGGAGACATTGCAGCCTGCCTAGCTGGGTGGCAAACCAATGACTCAGCAGTGGGCAGCTGAAAACAGATTGGTTTTAATCTCCTAATCCCCACTCTGGGCATATGTTGAAGGGCAGCCTTTGTGACCCCAGCAGTATTTATACTGCACAACATCTCTGGCTGTTTTTTGCTTGCTGCACTTTATGATGAAAACAGTAAGTTGTTGCTGTTTATAAACACATAAGAGCATAGCACAGAAAGCTCAGACCCAGTTTTTGGAAATCTGGATTCAGATATGGATAGGCTTTTATGTCAGATGTATGTGAAATAGTGAACTATTATCAGAATGCAAAATCTAATATTTGCCTTTTTTTTAACACAAGCCACAATATCAAGTTTTTGCTTTGTTTACAAATTACCAACAGGGGGTACAAAACCCCACACTGATCTTTATTCACAATCCATGTTCTTAATGGCTACTCATGGCTTATGTTGAGGACTTGGGACTAGAAAGTACATATAATTTGAGCACCTGGTGTACTTTGCTAGCATTAGAAAAAAGTTCAGGGTTTAGTTAGGGAAACCTATTCCAAACTGTGACTAAATCACAAAATCTGAGGTCCAGGATTCACAAATTAGAAGAGACCTCTCTCCAGTTTAGAAAGAGACCAGCCAGATTCTCCCAAGAACTGAGCACAAACAGCCATTAGTCTTGGAAAAGCAAATCACTGCATGCAGACTTTCATTTCTGCTTTTCATGATTTACAGACACATAACCCCAGGCTTCCTGTTCTCTCTACCATTAGTTAATTTAAGTAAACTGTGTTAATAAAGCAAAAATGCTCTGTGCTCCCCAGTGTTCCAGGCACTTCTTTCTCTTGTTTACTCTTCCTATCTTTCCTTACTAATCCTTTTGCAACCAAGGGAGAGAAGCAGCCATATATTTCACTGCAATTCTTTCAGTTTTATCATACTGGCATTTAGACTTTTAATTGTCTTTTGATTGCCAGACAAGCACACAACAAGCATAAGCTGCTTTCCAACAGTAACACCCATTGCACTGTGCTAATGTTATGAAGCTTAGAACTCAGGCATTTTTTTACAGGTATTTCTGCAAAGAAATAAACTAAAATTACATGAAAACTACTTCAAATTTTGACTTTATAAAATTACACTTGAGTTCTACCTCCAAAAGTCCCTCATTATTTCATGCACATCCATCACTTTAATACAGTGTCTAGGTTACAGGACCCATATATAGGTTATATCAGGAAATCGAAATCTGAATATTGCCTCTGAACTCTTAACAGAAAGGAGAAAGTAATTTTACTTTATAACTTCTCACCTATATAGAGTCAATATTTGTGGCTTCAGAAAGTCTCTTACCTTGAGAAACAAGGCTCCCTTGGAAGCCAAGGCGTCCAATCCTCTCCCATTGGGGTAACAGTGATAGGCAGCATCCATGACAGGGTAGCGGCTGGCAAAGAGCAGACCACTGTTCACAAACTTAAAGCTGCAGCAGCCGTGGCAGCTGTACACCCCCACATCATACACAATGTATTCAAAGTAGTGGTGCAGCTGCTCTTTCAACTTCTCCGCAGCCCTTTTGTCAAACACTTCCTGCAAACACAGAAAGTCCAGGTTGGCAGGGAAGAAGGCCGAGATCTCGTGGTCGAAGGTCTCGTCCGTGTGTTTCTTTTTCCGCACCGACGTTTTCTTCATGATGGAGGCCTTGTAGAGGAGCTTGTTGTTGGCAGTGCTTTGCTCCACGGTGCCATCCCCAGCACGGACCTTCACCAGGGACTCTCGGGAGGCAGAGTAGCTGTCTAAGCTCCCAGAATCTCCTTCCTTCTGTTTGTGGTTGGGTGTTTTTGAGATCTCTGCATCCCCCTCCAGCGTGGGCTCTGCCGGGCCGCTGGCGTGGGCCTGGCCATTGACGGGCTCTGGTTCTGGGTCTGACATGTGGCCATTGTCCTCCCCATTGATACGGACAATGCAAGTGTTTTCTTCTCCCTCGTTCGGCTCTCCACTTCCACCTTTCTCTTCTCTCTCCTCGCTGTTGTTTGAGCCAGAGTTGTCTCCTTTGTACTCCATCGATGTTGTCCTTTTGATGCCAGCGTTGACAGCACGGGTGGTGTTCTCTCCCCCCTGGGGGGAGGCCAGGCTGCTGAAGCTGGCGGCACTGATGGAGGTGTTGGTGGGAGAGTCTATGTAGATTTTGATCTGGGGCCTGCTGGCCCCATTGTGGATCCTCCGGCCGATCTCTTTAGCCCTGGCCTGGGTGTTGAAGACGTTGTTGAACCTGGCCAGCGAATCGGGCAGCAGGCAGACGTTGGCACTGCCAAAGCAGAAGCTCTTCCCACTCCCTGCAGCCTTCCACTCGGTGAGCAGCGTGGCTCCATTGGCACGGTGCTTGTCCCGCAGCCGGGAGTAGATGTAGGGCCTGCGGGCCGACTGCAGCGGGGACCAGAGCAGGAAGCCCAGGAGAGCGAAGGGGAGAGAGGCTGCCAGCAGGGCCAGGTAGATGGGAGTGGTGATGATGATGCAGAGGGCATGGAAATAGCAGGGGTCATCTGCTCTCTGCCGCTTCTCGTAGGTGGTTGGAACAAAAGAGCCCACGAGCCTGTCTGCCAGCCAGTAACATGGGAAAATCAGGCCCCAGGAGAAGGAATGCAGAACTGACAGAAAGCTGTTGGGAAAGGGGGAAGTGTACAAAACCATTGCAACTCAATTACAACAGCACCTCAGGGCCTACTACATGATGTCACTGGGTCAAGCATCGATGAGAACACTGGGAGAGGGCTGGGGAAAAAAGGTCCAGTCAGGAGTTCTGGTTTTCTTCCAGTGAGAGTCAATAACCAAACTTTAAGAGCACCATTTCACTGTGTTGGAATGAAAATGAAACAAGGCCACTGTTTTTGTCTGGCTTTTTGGCATCTATATTTGTCAAAGGATGTCATTGTTCACTGGGGGCTGCCATAATGAAACACTCCAGAGGCAAAAGGGAAACCTATAAAAAAAAAAGACAAAACATATGTAATGGTTATTGGAAGTTTAAAGCAGATTCAGATTTTCTCACAACAATTAAAGGCTTATTATGTAGAAGGAATATTTAAGTAAAATATACATTAATTGGCATTTACATTATTGTTTTTAAATTCCAATTTTCAGCTCTGAAGGAAACAATACTAATCAAGTATAAATCACAGTTTCACATCTTTCCTCTGAAGAGAGATTAGGCCTTTCAAAAGCTGTCTTACCACTTGCGAAATTCTGACCTGAGGTATTTAGTAAATGTCAAGATTAACCAAAGACATCAAATTTTTAGGGGCCTGATCTTACAAAAGGAAGAAAAATCTGGTAAGACAGTGACAGGGCCTTGTAACAAAAACTGACTAGAGGTAGAAATCAAATTTTAAAATAGAATGAGAAAAACCAGGTTGTGTGGGGACAAAGCTAAAAACACCTTCAAAAACAAAACAAAATAGTTGGTACTCAAATCCTGTGGCGAAGAAAGAGTCAGAAAGTGCCCGTGTTGAAAAGGATGGTGGGACCAGAACACAACTGCTTTTAACTTCTGTGTCCTGGGCATGCAAGGAACGACCTCAGAGACCTCAGGGGGAATGTCAAGAGATGGAACGATGGGTAATAAATACACACATACTGATCTCAGGAAAAGATCACCAAAACCTGATTAAAAATAAAAACAGTGGTGGGGGGGAGGGTAGAAGAAAAAGGAGCTGGTTTTGTGCCACAACACACCCACAGCCTCCCAAGGGCAGTGACAGCCCTGCCACTGCTGCCCCCTCTGCCAGCACCACTCACTTCAAGGGGCTGGACTGTCTGGGCAGTTTGGCCCTGATGGTACTATTTGGATGGAAATTGGAAAGGTTGGATGGAGGGAGGGGTTTTTTTGTTTTGTTTCAATTGTTAGCTAAGCATAACTTTAACAAACTCATGCAACATGTTTGAGTTCAAAGAAATGAGTGACAAGTCAAGTGCCAAATAACAAATGCTTGGCATTTACTGGTTGCCAAAGGCATTTTGGGATGTTGATAATAGAGGGAAGCCTAGTAGATTTGTTTTCCTGAATGATTTTTAGGACTCTTCAGTAAAAATGCTCAAAAGAGACTTTGGCATCGACATATCAGATAGAAAAAAATAACTTAAAACCCACCCGAATGATCCAATTACCATTAGAAAAGAAAAAAAGTAAAGAAATTATTCTGCTCTACTGGATACTTAAAATGCTTTACAAAAGCAGCAGACCAGAAAGGTTCTTGTTTACAGCAGTGCCAAGGGTAAACAGAACATGGGGTTTGGGATCTGTGAAGTGAGGACAAACCACAAACCTTACAGTCCAACTTCCAGGCTGCCCACCTGCCTGGTGAGGGCTGCAGTTGTGCTGCAGAACATAAGGCCAATTTGACTTTTACTATTTTAAAACAACACATCACAAAAAATGCAGAAGCACAATGGATCCATAAAAATTTGCCTGATTTGGTCTTCTATAGATAAATGTTTTCTTAAGTCTATAATGACAGGGTGTTCCAACCCCTAAGGGAACACGAAATCAAGTGACAGTTTGTAGATAGAGCAGTCAACGCTGCTCAGTGATGTGCTGCAGTTAAAACAAACCCAAATCAATCCAACACAATTCCTGCCAGTTCTGTTATGGACTGCAGTATCAATAATCTACAAATCAATCCAACACAACTCCTGCCAGTTCTGTTATGGACTGCAGTATCAATAATGTGCAAGATAAACAGCTGCCCAGCAAACCATGAAATGCCCACCTAGAACAGCTTCCCAAGAGCAATATTCCAGCTTATGGGGACATACAGTGTGGAAGGAATTCCTGCTTCCTGCAGATCCAACGTGTGTGTCAGTAACAAAGGAGGAGAAATGAATGAATCACAAATGCTTTCGGGGGTGAGACGGCACAGCAAGCCTCAGAAAGCAAATTGGGTGACTGAGGTTTCTTTTAACAACTTTAACAATTCTTTGTGAACGTTAAAGACTGAATGATGGTTCAAGGCCACATTGGAGACTCCTACACTTCCTCTGCCTTAAAAAGGGAGAGTACCTTCAGAAATCAGGACAATTTTTGCCCAAGTGCCAGCTGTATTCCTCACTGCCAGCCTGCTGAAGTGGAGAGGCAACAGGGATTTGAGTACAGAGATGTATTCCATCCATTTTAGTTCATGAATTCTCACAGAATCCCCTCAACTAATGATACAGAAGTTTAAAAGCTCGGGCAAGTTTTAAGATACCATTGCTGGAGAAAAAGGAGAACAGAATCATTAGCTGGATGTCCTTTACATTTTTGCATATTGGAGACAGAAGACGTGGACACATCAAGATCCTAATTAAAAGCACTCTTCTTCCAAGTAAATTATTATCCTGATTTATTACACTTGTAGATGAAGGAAATCACACAACTTGCCAAAGCTCTGTTACAGATTCACTGGCTGTTTGCTGCAAAGTCACATGCAGACTAGTGTCTCAAAGCCATGCAAAAAAACAGAATTAAGAGAGGCCTGAGAGCCAGATTTTATCTCCACAAGATGCTGAAGGGTGAGGGAAGGCCCCTGTGAGTCCCCTGGCCCTTGGCACACATGACGTCAGTGACATCTCTGCTAATGCAGGTTCAGATGGAGCCCAAAGCCAAAGTGCCTAATTCCTTGTGCTGAAGGGCATTACTTGCTAATCCAATGCTTTATTCATAGGGCTTTGAGAGATTAAGGGAGAATTTAAGATATTGCAACGAAACAGATATTTTTGTATGCTACAAAGACGTAAACTACAGTCTTGTTTAGTTGTTTTTATTACTTTCTAAGTGTTTGAAGGCTAAAAATAGACTTTATTTAATTTTTTTTATGGTGCCAGTATAAAACATCTCAACTTCAGTGATAACAAGCCATCAGGCGGAAAGGTTTGAAAGATTTTTATGATGATAATGATGCCCAGAAGTATGCTAGAGACATCATAGATCAAAAGACATGTTCCCAGCTCCAACACTGCTTGCAAACTAAACAAAGGACTCTACAAGTCAACAAGTGGTAGAGAAAGAGAGGAGAAACAAGAAATAATAATAAGGTTATGTGGACAGTCTAGAAATGGTCAGAAAAGTTTTAACTTCCTTTTGCTTAGAAACTAAAATACACTTTCAAATTCAGACAACTAAGATTTCTTCAAAGTTCTTCAAAGTAATATCTCATCTGTATTTTTAAAAATACTTGTAAATCACTGGCAGAACAATTATTTTTTAAAAAAATGAATAAAACTGCTGAAATGACTGATTTGGAAAGTTACCTTATAGGTAACTTGACATAGTAATTTACACAGATTCATTAAAACTAGTTTTTCTTGAATCCTGACAATGTTGGTCTTCAGTGGAAGTCATAGCAGTATGTATCTAAAGTTGGGTTCTAGAAAAGCAGTTTGTTTAGACTGTATTGGCTTTTTGTTACCTTTATTTCCTTATTGTCAGTGTAATTTGAAGCAAAGAAATAAATCTTACAACAGTACTCCCACTCCAGCACACAAAACAACTGAGATGACGTAACTGAGAGAATTCTCACTCAGGCTCTCATCCTTGCTTATTAGACAAACACAACTTCATTTCTGCTTTCCTCATTGTTCTCATCTGGTTTTCCTCCTAGACACACTTCATAAAATCCTCCTTTCTTTATTCAGTGTTTTCCCCGTGATTATTCTTATACATGCTTTTAATTAGAGCCTGGTTCAACAACTAACTCACCTTCTGGAAAAAACCCTCCCCCAAAAGGACAAACCCCTGAACTGTTTTCCATGTTTGATTCCAGCCTGTCCTTACAGAGCTGCAGAATCTCCAGTGCCAGTGGCTCCAATGGAGATCTTTCCTTGCTCCCTTGCTCCCACCTCCCAGCCTGGTGTTTGCCCTGCAGCCCCTCGCTCCAGGGAGCAGCTCACAGTGCAGGGCAAGAGAATGAAGCACAACTTTTGGCTCACCTTAACTTCCACCTCAACCAATAGCAATTTAAAGCCTAGGAAAATCCTAGTAAAAATGTGGACCCTCTGTGCATGAGAAGCTGAATTTGGTGTATCACTGATGACCAAAGAACCCAACTCAAACCAAGCATGTGGCAGGAGGAGAAGGGAAGGAGGAAAGTGTTTCTGCAGACTTGCCATTGTGATGTTCAGTTACCAGTTTCTGCCTAAATGTTCTCCTTTGTTTCTAAAGAAGGCAATCAAAGGTTGCCTTGCTGCTCTGCAGCTTGTCTCTTTTATGTCCACAGGCTGCCATCAGGCAAGAAGTCAGCATAAACAAGACGTTTAACTTAATTGAACTAACCTGTAAAAAACAGAATATTAAGAAGTTTGAATTTACAAGTCTCATTAAATATTGGTGATGTCAGCAGCTAAGTAGATGTCTGCAGGAAAAAAAACAAATACCCCCCCAAATTGATGAAGCTGCTCAAGGCTCTGGAGTATTTATGAGTTAGTGATGGTGCAATCCCTGTTCAACACAAGGAGGTATCAACCACCGGGGCTACATTTCCAAAAGCAGTCTTTGGAATCTCAGTGATGCCTTTCTTTACATTTCTGTAAAAGGTGAACATGAGGGAGATGTGGTGCTGTTATTACCTGCAACCTTGGCAGCTCCAGGGACCTGAACCTGCAGCAGAGAAATTAATCTGGCATGGTACCCTGTGTACCCCCCAACCCAAATGGGACCTTTTCTCTCACAGCACTGAAAATTTGCTTATGATCACACTGCAAAACTTGCTTTGTGCTTGACAGTGAAGTGTGGCATGGCAACAGATTCTCATTTCCAAAAGCAAATCATCCCATTTTGGTAGTCCCAGATCACATTCCTAGAACAAAAACCATACCCACACACCTTCTGCTACCTGAATTAAACTGGATTAAGTTTTAAACTTAATATAAAAAATATAAATTCAATTATGTTAATGTATGGAAACACACAAATGTTAAAAATCTATCTGAACTATTACATAACCCACT